ATGCTCGCCCCTGCCCCGGGGCCAGTTCACTAAAGCTCCAGGAGGGCTGAGGTCCAGAGTGTCAGGGAGGGAAACGCGTTCTCCTATTGCTCACGTTTAACCTCTTAGCCCGAGCTGGAAACATTGGGACCACACCTGGTCAGCAGAAGGGCAACCTGATAACCACCGAGGTTATGTGGCTGCAAAGAAGCCACAGTAGAGCTTCAAGGAGCCGGACTTGACGTCCCCTCTCCAACTCTGACACTTTCCGACCCCACCTCTGGAACTGCTGACTGGAGCTAGTGCAGGGAGAAGGAATGATTCTTGATTCTTAGGACCTCAGGCCTGGTGTCCTCTGTGGGAACACAGAACCAAGACTCTTGTCTAGGTCGGGAAAAGAGCTGAGGCGTGGAAGTCCTGGGATCTATCCTCTCTTAGAACAATCCCTGCATCTGGATTTCCACATCTTGACCCCCATCAGAACAGGTGAGCCCACAAGAACCCCTCCTATTCTTGCATGTACCCTCACTGAGGGTTCACAGGACCTAGTCAGGAGACAGGTCATAAGTAGAACCCGGCAGAGTGTAGGGCTCTGACAACTGTCAGGGACACTCAGAAAGGGTTGCTGCTACCCTCCTGGCTTCTCTGTTTGCCCTGCTCTGCCTCTGTCCCTTGGACTGTGAACTTTAGAGCCCAGGGTGGGAAGGATGAGTGAAAGAACAGAGGATTTCCCACCTGCTCCCAGCAGCAGACCTGATGCCTTGACAAGAGCCCTGTGCCTGCATTCAACCCTTAATGTTGCTCTGTGCTTGTTATTCTAAAAAGGTCAGAGAACACCAGCTTGGAGTGAAATAGGCGCTGGGTGAGCTGGGATGTGAGCCATTGAGTGTCAGTTGCTACAGAGGCGGTGGGGCCGGGGGCCTGTGCAGCTAGACTAGGGAAGGGGCGGCCCCACACTGCTGGGCATCTGGCTTGCCTCCAACAATGCCTCCATTATTTTCCAACGTCCATGGCAATGAAATGGCCCTTGGGGATCAGAGTTCAGGCGGGAGACTTGGCCTAGGGATCCCTGCTGTAAGCCAGGGGCATTAGAAGCTAAGGGACATTTGATCTCCAGGGTCCTGTCTTGACATCGTCTCAGGCCAGCCCCAGATCTTCCTGGTCACTCTTGACCCCGTGGCCTCCCTGTACCCCCTGCCGGCTATCATTTCCTTTCTCTGCAGTCATTCTTGTGCTACTCCTCCCTAGCCACTCCTCTGAATTCTCTCTTCTCTCCTTCCTGCCTTGTATGGAGGCCTCTGGGTTGCAATTGCTCTTACCTCGAGCCCTGCTGAAGGTACAGAGGGCAGCAGCTCCGGGGGCACCAGGCCCTTCTCGGTTGCAATCAAGTTCTGCTTCTAGCAGCATGACAGTCACTAATCGAGTGGTTGGTGCAGGCTGCTCCTTGGAGTGCTGGATTTCTTCTAGGCCTTGGCCCACTCGCTGGATCGGCGCTGTCCGCGGTGCTGAAAGAGGCACTGGCGTGCTGGGGCCCTTCTCCAGCCTGCCCCGCCCCTCCACTGTCCCCGCCCTTAGCCCCTTCCAGGCCTGGGCAGGCGGAGTCAGACTAGCGTCACTCCAGGGCTGGGTTTCACCAGTTTATGGAATGTGGTAGCCCTTTTCCAAGACTTTCCTTTACCTGACATAGTAGCATAGCAGCTCCAACTTGCTCTGCTCTGGGTTTTGGCTGGAGGTGCCATGTTCACCATGCAGGTTTGGGAGCCTCAGGGTTGTTAGCATGGGATTCTGCCCGCACCCCCCTTGCCAAAAGGTCCAAAGGCCCTCTGCTGCAGGCACAGGTCAGAGGCCTCCCAATGCTGTTGGTGGCCTTTAGAACTCTCCATACTCAACCCTGTATCCAGTACTCTGCAGGCAGATTTTAGATCCTCCTCTCCAATTCCCACCTCTGGGAGAGGGTCATGTGTGCAAAACCACCTGCTACTTCAGGGCTTCTCACAGAAGCTCCCAGGTCCCTGCAGGGTGATCTGCTACACACACACACACTGTCCCAGGCTGACAGAGCAGGGACAAAGCAGACGGGAAACTTGGTGAGAGCCTCAGCAGCTTCTGGGTTGATTGGTCTCCCCAGGATCTGGCAGCCAGGAGCTGTGGGTTCAGATCAGCGTGAAGGTACACTTGTACTGATCTCCGTGCTTTGTTAACAAAGGTGCAGGGTCCTGCAACTCTCTGCCATAGTCTATTCAATTCTTCACTTTCCACTTGAGCTCTGGGCTGTCTTTCCCAAAAGCCTCTAGTTTATTTACACAAGAAATTCTAGCAGGGCAGTGGTGGCACACACCTTTAATCCCAGCAGAGGCAGGTGGATCTCTGTGAGTTCGAGGCCAGCCTGGTCTACAGAGCAAGTGCCAGAACAGGATCCAAAGCTACACAGAGAAACCTTGTCTCGAAAAAACACAAACAAACAAAAAGAAATTCTAGACTTCAGAGCTGGGTCTGTAAACTAGAAGGGAGTAAAGGGCTTAGAGCACTCTCTGAATCCAGCTTAACATATTGCTTTTCACATTTCAAAACAAAAACCAAACTGTTAACAACTTTATCAAATGTCAGATTTCTTTATTCTTAAAATGTGCACAGTAGTTTACTTAAATACAAAATGTACCCTTTCTTGGCAGGTAAGAAATTTCATTGACATTTTCATGCCAATTGGCTTTTTAATCAAAATCTTTGCATTAAAAATAAATAAACATTTAAATTATTGAACTATTATATCCATTAATTGCAATACATCTCATAATACTTCAGACTTTAAAAGAAGAGACTTACATGGCCTAAAGGTAGGTCCCAGAGCTGAGCAGGGCCCTTTAGGCAAGCCTTCTAACTGCAGAACTGACAGTCCAAACAGATGTATGTGGCAAGCTTGTCCCCCAGAAGGGATGGCCTGGGACTCTACAAGTGCATCTGAAAGTAGGCTCTGCCCAGGGTGGGCTTCTACAAACATCAGCCATGTTAGGCCTTGTGGGGTACTGTGGCAGCCCTCGGGTCACAGTTACAGAAGTCCCCTCAGCATTGCTCCCCAGAGGCAGTTCAATGTGTGTTCAAAGCATTTCTCTTTGGAGCTGTGCTTAAACAGGCCTGATTTTCAAGCTGATGGACCAATGTTGTCTCAATAACCTAGACACGCAGGCAACAATAAGGATGAACTCATCTGTTTGTTTGTTTTTTAAAAAAGCACAGAATTCCAGGTTTCCTCCTGCCATAGGGAAGTGAAGCAGGAGGTTCAAGTGGCTGGGCCCAGGCCATGCCTGTCCCAGCAGGGAGGCCTTGCTGATGCTCCCATCAGATGGAAGGAGGGTTAACAACAGCCCAAGGAGACAGCGGTCCATTTTTTTAAGTGGCAGCAGAAACATTGATAATACAAGGTTTTAAATGATACCCATGTGATCAGCTGTTGTTGGAAAGGAAGCAAATATAAAATATAGATTATGCAAAGTGGAATGTATATTTAACTAACCAAGTCATACCCATGTGAGAACACAGAGGTACACACATTCATCATACAGTCAAACACACAGACACACAGACACAGACACACACACACACACAAAGCTAGCTTGCTTTATCCAAATAAAAAGAAGCTCCTGAGCCATGACAGGTCTCAGTAGGAATGTTTCCATAAATGTAGACTTAATCTATGTTTTTTTTTTTTTGTTTTTGTTTTTTTTTTTAAAGTCTTTAGGCACAAGTTTACCATTCAGTGTTTTGGGATTTTACAAATAATGTATTTAAACTGTTAATTTTTTGTTTGTTATTAAAGTTACCCTCAAGGCCAGGAGGTCTCGTATGCAGGGGCCATTGCATGTGCCCAGCATCTGTGCCTCCATCAATGCCTTCTGCAGTGTACATGAGACATGACAGGGGTTATAGAGGCTTTCCAGAGACTGCACTCCTGCTCACCACTGGCTGTCGGGCAGAATCTCACCATGGGGACCAGAACTGCACTACAGCCTGACTGGGTTGGCCCTCCTATCTACTGTCACCACCACTGCCCCCAGGGAGCCAGGGTTGGGGGGTAAGGGAAGGCAGACACAGATGTGAGTCCCCGTGAGGGAGCTGCAACATGGAGGGCTATGTGCTGGACCTGCCTCCTGGCCTACAAGGCCAATACACACAAGTCTGATACGGAGGCTGGGAAGGTGAGGACAAGGTGGCAACAAGGCAAAATGTTCCAGTAAAAACAAAACAAAACATGCTCCTCCAGACACCATGCTGGGCACATTTCCAAAATCCCTGATCCCAACATTAAAGCTGCAGGTGCGTGGGTGACTTCAAAGGCTTCCTCTGTGTTGCCATGGCTGTCCCATGTGTTCTACACAGCTGGGTGGTAGAGCCGAACTTTCCATCGCTTGGACCTCACTCGGAAGAAGAAGTACATGATCATCAGGAACAAGGAGGAGGCCACATACAGCACCACACAGAGGCTCATGTCCAGACTGGAGAAACCAATCCCAAGGAAGGGCACAGATGCCTTGGCCTCTTCAAGTGCCTGGAGACCCTTGGGGCTCTGGAGTCTTAGGTCCAGCCTGTGGTGCAGGTTCTTGGAAAGATCAGTTCTGGGGCCCAGTATGTGGGGTGGACGGAGACTCTCAGCATCCTGATGGATCCAGGACTTTCCTGAGGGGTTAAGACCTTCACCCTCTTCCTGCTCCTTGCCAAGATCTCCCCAGTCACCAGGACTGCCCTGGTCCACAGAGTATGTATCTACCAGGTTGTCCCTGCTATAGTGCTGCTTCAGGAACACAAGTACCTGGTCCTCATTCCAGCTGTCCAGGCCTTTAATTTCCTCATGGCAGGCTGGGCAGAGGTCTGGAGTGGGCCATGGAACCTTTGGAAATTTGGGATCCTCACTCAGATGGCCTAGGAGGGAGGGAAGGAGAAAACCAGTGAAACCTTTCAGCCGTAGGATGCTAGGTCTCACCCCATCCACCACTAGCTTGTGTCCCTGCCTCCCTCCTTCGGGCACGCAGGGTACCCAATGCATGCTCTCTTCTCTCTGGCAAGCAAGGGAGGGACCCTGCATTCTGGGCTCCACTCGCCACTCAAGGGACTACATCCATAAAGTTCGTATTTCTGTGTCTCATCCCACCCTTTACTGCCCCCCTCCCCCTACCCTTTAATTCTTAAGAAGGGTTTCTCTGTATAATAGCCCTGGCTGTCCTGGAATTCAACCCCTAGTCTGGTGGCAGGAATGTGGAGCAGGTAAGGAATATTATGAGTAACATCACACCAGGATATACAGCCCCTTCCCACTGTGGCCTAATGATGTTGGCACTTTTGGTTGGGGACAAATGACAGCAGGGCCCCCGGACTGGGCAGGCCCAGCTGGTGCCTTGTTTTGGCTGCCTCAAAGCCAGTCGCCTGGGGTGTGGGGAGGTGGAGAGGTGGGAGGGAGATAGGGAAGGCATTAGGGAGAAATCCCTGTACAAGGGCCACTGTCGAAGCGCCTTGAGACAAAGCAAATCCGCTACATGAAAGGCACCGTCTGCTTCTGGTGCCAAGAAAAACCAATTTTCTTTAGTGCTTTAGTTGTAATATGTTTTATAATACAGCGGATTAAACAAAAACCAAGAGTTTAGAGACATTTTCCGTTCATCTCTATTAAATTCATTTCTCAGTAGAATTACTCTTAAGCCTAATTTTAATCTGCCATTGATTTTGGAATAGCAGGAATTACTTAAATCTGACAGACTACATGTGCCCTCTATTTAGTTTTCTTACAACAAAATCACTTTGTGAGGTTTGCCCAACCATCTGAGATTTGAGTGTGTGTGTGTGTGTGTGTGTGTGTGTGTACATGTTTGTATGCATGTGTTAGTGTGTACACATTCTGGAAGAGGCCAGTTATTCTCTGACACAGGGTCTTTCATTGAACCTGGAGTTTGTAGATTTGACTGGGCTAGATTGGCTAGCAAGACCCATGGATTGTCTCCACCGCCCCAGCACCAGAATTATAGGTATGTGCCACTGCACACATATTTTTTTTTTTTTTTCAAGACAGGGTTTCTCTCTGTGTGTAGGCTTGGCTATCCTGGAACTCCCCCTTTAGACCAGGTTAGCCTTGAACTCACAGAGATCCTCCTGCCTCTGCCTCCTGAGTGTTGGGATTAAAGGCAGGCACCACTACCACCAGGCCCAGATTTTTTTTAAGAGATCAACTCAGATCCTCATGTTTGAATTTTTACAAATTGAACTAAATCTCCAGCCCCTGAAAAAAGACTTTAAAGACACTAAAAATGTTTAGCAAAATTTCTATAGTTTTTTTTTTTTTTTCTTCAGAGTTCAGAATTACTGGTGATGAAGTTGGGGAGGGGATATCAAAGGGGGACATGAGAGAAGCAAGAGCCCCATCGGTGTCTACAGGGCCAGGAGCTCCCAAGCCATTGGGACACAGTAGCCTAATACACCCAGAACAACGGCAAGAGGGAACCAAAATTACTGTCCCCAAACACACTGACCACGGCACCCTTGGCAGCCTTGAAGTGGGCTGGACCCTCCAAATCCAGGCTCAAGGTATGTGCTTGATAGTGTCAGGACAGCAAGGAACATGCAAGCCTTTTACCTGCCAGGCGGCTGTTCACCATGTTGTGTTTCCTCCAAAGCCAGAGAACAGCTTGGTCTGGGGTTTTCACAGAATTCATGGACTCCTTAGCCATTTCTTCAAAATGCTCAGCACATTCTTTGCACCCAAAGAATGTATGAATGTATCTCCTTATGGTCTGCAACACAGCCTGGGGGTCATCTTCAAACCCTGGAGAAGGAAGAAGGCTGTCAGTGCTGCAAACCTACAGATCATGAAGCCCTGGACCTGTCAGATGGCTCAAACAAGAAAAGATTCAGGTAGCATCCAAGATCGTGGACTGCTCCAAGTGTCCCCACAGAGAAGAACCCATGGCATGGTTCCCCAGATACCATACTGCAACTGGAAGTGGAAGGCTGCTCCCACTGCATGAGGACAATGGAAATCACACTGGACACACATCGTTATTATGGGTATTCCAAAGGTTGAGTACCAAGAGGAACAAGCCCCAATAACTCAGATGCCTTGATCTCTATAAGCCTTAAAAGGGATGTTCTAACATTCCTCAACCATGCTACTGGTTGTCTCTGTCCCTGACCTCATGACCCAAAGGGCAACCTAATCCTAAAAGAGTATGTTTTCTTTAGGATCTGCCACTCTGCCATCTGTGTGTACTTCCTGCTTTGTAACCCCTGAAAGTGTTGTTTGTGGAGATGAGGCTGTCACTCTGAGCCCAGAGCCAACCTGCTTCAGAATCCACAGAACCAGGTCCAAGAGCAAATATGGCTGTGTACAATCTTCCCTGAGCAGATGGGCAGCAACGGTTACCAGCTGGTCAGCTGCTGGGACTCCCTCTTGGAGGATAGGCAGGAAGGCAGGTTGGCAAAGTCTGCACTTTTTCAATAGGACTGGGTCTCTCCAAAGGTAACAGTTTTATTCTTTTGTTTGTTTTGATTTTTGGAAGCAGGGTCTTGCTATGCCACCCTGGCTAGCCTAGGACTTGCAAAAGAGCTCAGGCTGGCCTTGAATTCAAGGCCATCCTCCTGCTTCAGCCTCCTGAATATTTGAATTATAGGATTATAAAACTACTACATCTAACTGGTGAAGGTTTTTGTTTGTTTTGTTTTTTCGAGACAAGTTTTTTCTGTGTAGTCCTGGCTGCCCTGAAACTTGCTCTGTGGACCAGGCTGGCCTCAAACTCAAGAGATCTGCCTGCCTCTGTCTCCTGAGTACTGAGATTAAAGGTGTGCCCCACCACCACTAGGCTGGTAGTGGTTTTAAAATACAACAGGGAGCATCTAGGGTCATAGTCCACAGTAAAACAGGGGCTTATAGGATAGAAGCAGCAGACATGAAGGGTATACAGCATTTTCAGAAAGCAATCCATCCCAAAAGCAGAAGCAAACAGCTAGAGCCAAGCAACCCAACCACACAGGACTAGGCTGCATCCCAATGCAGATAAACATGCAAGTAAGGGACCAGCACCACAGACAGGCAGCAAAGTGGTAGAACAGAAATGCATTTCCCACTAGGGATGGAGTCTTTCCATCCAGAGCAGCCTGCATGGGAGTCTGCTTCTCAACAGGCTCTGACCCAGGTGTCTGTCAACACTAGGCATGGGGAGTTACACTAGGACCTCTATATCTGGGAGGTAGAAATCCGCATACCACTGTCCCTGCTGGCCTTGAGTATGCCCATGGGTAGTTGGGCAATGCCTGGTGTGAGTCTGTTGCTATTCTTGTGACTAGCCTGCCTGGCCTTCTCTCCCCACCAGATCTCCAAACATCTGCCTCATGTCACAGTAATCCCTCCTCTTGCCCACCGAACCATTGCCCACTCCAGCTCTAATCTTTAAAGTGGACAAGAACCATAAACCACTACCTGGGGGAGGGTTAGACCATGAAGTCAGCACTTTAGTAGACGGGTTTAAATCAGCATGGAGAAAAGAAAACCTCAAAGACTTAATCCTGCTCCTCGACTGACCCAATTCCATTGGCAGGAGACTACTCTCCTCAGGGGTGCATCAGGCTGTGTTCATGAGGAAGAGAGGGCTGCAGCTGCCTGCCTGAATGTGGTCATGTGGTCTGTCATGCAGACATCAAGTGTGTCTTAGGATCTGTGACTCTGGCTGTCCTGAACTGTCTTTAAGCAGCCCTCAACCCCCACTCCTAGCACAAATCAGCACTGCTGAGGAGCTAGCACAGCAGGAGCACAGTGAGCTAGCACTCACTTCCTTTTCCACAGACCTTTCTCCACAGATAAGGGACCTCTAGAGTCAGCCTGTTTCAGGAGTAGTCCAGACACATCAAATTACACAGTGCCATGGGTCTGACCTCAGTGTCTGAACTGTTTCTGGGTTTCTCCCTGGCGTGCGCTCCTCTTTCTTCTGATTTCCAGGGGAATGTGACGTTAAGACCAACACTCTCCCCATCCTGGACATACTCTTTTGCATAGGGATTTAGGTGCCTCTATGAAGAGGTGGTCCACTTCCCTAGCTCTGAGTTCAATCTGTACAAATGATATGGATAAATGACAACCTGTCAAGGCCTTCAGGGTCCTTCCTCATCTTGGCACCACCCAGTAGTAGCCTGTAGGAGTGAGTTAATTTAAGCTGTCCCCCACCTCCCCCTCCCCATGGCGAACTACCACCAGACACCCACACAAACAAGACCATGACTAGGAATAGAGGAATCATGCAGCCCAAGCAGACTCAACTGCTGACCTATCCAAACATGAACAAGTAAAATGGAGGGTGTTTGACAACACCGCCTAGTTATAAGAATTTTATGATGTGACTGGAAAGCATCCTGGAGCAAATGGACTCCACTAAGGCTTGGTATCAACACGAGTGAACCAAACAGACTAAAGCACAAGAGTTGAAAGACAAACACTATTCCACAGTCCAGGGCTTGATGGCCTGGGAAGTACCCATATGGTCACATTCAGAGTGGGTGAAAAATCCAACACAGCAGATTTAATTCTCACTTTGCTATTTTGTCATTGACAGCTATCAGTCCCTATCCTCAGGTTTTCAACTCCATGTGACAGGCAGCCTCTGGGACTGTCCCTGGTCCTTGCCTCTGAGACTCAAGACTTAAAGGTTCTTGTTCCCTTGTGAACAAAGTGGGCCAGAGAGACCAAGATGACAGAATTGATGAGTGCCGCTCTTCTGCTGGCTCCCAAGTTGTGAATGGACCTTAGAGGAACAGCCAGCAGGCATTGGTAAAGAGGTCTATCCCCAGTTGAAATGGGTCTTATTATCCCGAAGCTGAGGAGCCAGGTTAGGCCACACTCAGATTCCTGCCCACAGAAACTGTAAGACTCTGAAAGCAGGACTTAAGATTTATTTGTTTAATGTACACTGATGTTTTGGAATCTGAAAGCAGGACTTAAGATTTATTTGTTTAATGTACACTGATGTTTTGCCTGTATATACTCTATGAGGGTATTGGATCCCCCTGGAACTGGAGTTACAGACAGTTGTGAGTCATCATGTGGGTGCTGGGAATTGAACCCAGGTCCCCTAGAAGAGCAACCAGTGCTCTTAACCACTGAGCCATCTCTCCAACTTGAAAGTGGATGTTTTAAGCTGCTTAATTTGAGGCTAACTTGTTCCAGAACAAATAACGAATAATATACCTCACTAAATGGGGTTCACTTGTCTTATTTTCCTGAGTAAACCAAGGTTTACATTACGATTCCTGGCTTGTCTGTCTTCTTTGTGGCTCCTTTTTAATAAGGCTGTTGTGGCAAAGGGTATGGAACTCTCCCTACTGCCTTCCACGCAGAAGCAGGCTGTGCTCATGGTGTCTGCATTCTGAAATGCTCACCCCCAGACTTATAATGTCCCCTGTCCCAACATCTAGAAGACTGGCACTTCATAGACAGCAAAACAAAATCCTGTAGGTACTTTTGGCAGCACATGACACGCACTGGAACTAGACAGTGAATGCAGAAGGCCACTCATGCCAGCTTGGTTAGGCAGATGGTTACCTGTGCCAACCAGTGCTTCTGGATGGGTAGAGGCCTGAACCGTCAAAGTGTGAAACAGTTTCCAGAGGGAGCATGGGTAGCCCCTCAACTCCAATCGGCTTCCTTGACATCCCACCCACTTTATGTGGCTGGTAAGAAAGATTCCAGAAATCTGAGGGGAAAACATCCACAAAGAATACAAGACAAGTGTTAAAATTAACACTAGTTGCAAGATGCCTTGGTCCTTGGTTGGGGAGATGATCATACAAGGGTATGTATTTATCAAAGCTTCTCACTGCATGCCTATAATCTCAGCACTTAGAAGGCTAAGACTGGAGAATCTCAAGTTTGAGGCCAGCCTAGGCTACATGAGAGACCTATTTCAACAAACAAACAAAAGAACCAAACAACAATGTAAAAAACCAAAAGCCCTGGGAGCTATGCTGTTTGAGGGCAGCTCTCACAGTGTGTTCTTGGCGAGCTGTCCTAAAACTGAAGCCTTCAGTGTAACCTACCAGCATCATGGAGGTAAGGAAATGGGCATGAAGTCATCATAGAAATGGGAACATCAAAAATCATGAGGCATCTTTACCCAGGGACATGGCTTCTCTACCCAGGGAGATGAGGCTTCTCCACACAGGGACAGGGGTTTTCTACATGGGGAGAGGGGGTTTCTCCAAGCAGGAAGATGGGATCTGTGCTGTGTGAACCAAGTACTGACAACAAAGCCAGGGAGACACCACAGGTGACTTTCTGTGGACGTTGGGTCCTGGGCCTGAGCAGAGGGACGTGCTAGGTGAAGGAGAACGGCACGGTTCACACTAGATGAGTTCACACACCAGGCCTGGGACTCACCCGCATCTTGTTGTTGACTAGGTCCAGGATGGCATTGTACGGAATCTTGTCTAGGGGGAGGTTGGCCAGCCACTCCTGCACTGTCTCCAAAAGCTTCTTGACTGACGGCCGGCCGGGGAACAGCTAAGAGAGGAAGACCCACCCTATAAGATATTGAGAAAAATTGCCACTACCTCCCAAGGTCTGAAAACAGTATGGAGAGCTGTGACCTTGTGGCAAAGTCCATACCACAGGGTCAAAGCCCCACACTACACACAGTCAATCCTTTAAGGAAATGGATTTCACCCTAGGACCAGCCAAGAATTGGGGGTTCTTCAAGAACTAGGGAATAACAGATGGCTATTTTACGATGTCAGACAGGGAGACTACTGAGTATGGTATATCACCAAGTTATCAAGTGCTCAGTGGCCCTCCAGAAGGCATTGCCTGCATACTTAGCCTGTCTTTCTGCAATTCTTCAGTTCCAACAGCCTCTCTTACTGTCTCTAACCAACTGCCTACAAGATGTGTGGGAACAGACACCTATCATAGGCAGTGATGACATGTAGCTTACTGGCTGACTCAACACAGGAACCTGGAGAGCAAGTAGCTAAGAGAACCCTGGTGGTTTTGCTCTCCTTACATAGCATATTGTTCTCTTACTACATGTGCAAAAATAAAGGCTGCATTGGCTATATTTTTTATGCATTGCTCACAAAATAGCATGATCAGTTAATCAGCATTAAATTTGCTCTTAAATGTTTAAGTACATTTTACAACAGTAACTTTTTGTCATGATTTAAGGAGCTGTCACCATCATATGGCACATCCTCAAACACCAGAGCTAGCTGCAAGGGCAGGAAGGCAATATCCAGTGAGGCATACCCACTGAGACTAGGTTAATTCCTGTAAGCCAACAACTTTAGCATGGGCGTGTTTGCTGGCTAGAGGCATTCCAGGGTAGCAAGTCTAGTGAGACATATAGTTTGTTTAGCCGAACACTTTTTGTTTTGGAGACAGGGTCTCTGTAAGTAGCCCTGGCTGACCTGGAACTCAGTAAGTAGACTAGGCTGTTCTTAAACTTGCATAGATCTGCCTGCCTCTGTCAGCAGAGTGCTGGGATCAAAGGTATCTGCCACCACACCTGGCTAGACACACTTTTAAAGAATAAAGCCATCCAGAGCCATCTCAACCTTGACCAGCACAGTGACTAAAACCTTACCTAGCAGTTTTCATTGAAATATCTGACCTATTATTCCTTGAAACGTAAAGCTTATTTCCTTTGTTTTTCCAAAGTTACACTACAAATGTAAATATTTATAATCTACCTACCTGGACAAAAGCAATCCTATCAAGGGACTTTCCATTTATTTATTTATTTATTTATTTATTTATTTATTTATTTATTTATTTATTTATTTATTTATTTATTTATTTATTTATTTATTTATTTATTTATTTATTTATTTATTTATTTATTTATTTATTTATTTATTTATTTATTTGGTTTTTTGAGACAGGGTTTCCCTGTGGCTTTGGAGCCTATCCTGGAACTAGCTCTTGTAGACCAGGCTGGTCTCGAACTCACAGAGATCCACCTGCCTCTGCCTCCCAAGTGCTAGGATTAAAGGTGTGCGCCACTAACGCCCGGCGGGACTTTCCATTTAGTCAAAAAAGGTATGTAAAATACCTTGCTTCATCCACACACAGTACAAGGTAAAGCGGGTCTCACACTGCACTAGTGGTGATGGGGGTATCTGAAAGACCAGAAAGCAGCAGGACTACAGCTAGACCAGACAGGGCTGCTGCAACCAACAGGAGAGCTCAGGCTCATCCCTGAAGGGCAGGGCAATTCCCCCCACCCCCAGCTCTGGGCACTGGAGACGAATACTTGGCAGGAACTAAACCTGACACTTCTCACTCTCATGTCAGCTACCACAGAGGTAGCTTGCACCCTGTACATCACCGAGGTGGAGGTATTCCCATCCCATCTAGGTCTTCTGAATATCAAGCACTCTGCTTAGTCTTTTCCTGGACTTCTGCCTGCCCAGCATTAGTCCTGCTCTTCAGGAGCCAGCCATCTGAAGCTGTCAGCTTAAGGCCTCTCTTCTAACCTCTTGGGAGCCCTATCAGGGTCAGAATGGCCACGAGCACACACCTGCCACACTTAGTGGCCTTCCTTCATTAGCTTTGTTAGGTATCCCTTCATCTACCCTTTAATCCCACTCAGCACCTATACATGGAACTAATTTCCTTACATGGCTACTAGGAGACTATGGCTATGCTGGCCAGTCTTCTTCAACCTGATTCTGGCATGGAAGGATCTAGGCTGTGTTGTGTCATGACTTGGCCTTCCTTTGGACACCTAACTAACTCTCCTAGAACCCCATTCTGAAGCTGCCTAGGAGCAGGTCTCCACCTTTGATATCTACACAACCTACCCATTCCTCATGCCTCTTCTATACTTTCCATCAGCCTGCTGAAATTCCCCAGTTTAAGTGGGGGAAGTCAGAGCTCAACAGTGCTCTGTTCCTGTTCTCAGCCTCTTTTGCTCCATCCTCACAGGCAAGTTTCAGTCAATACTAGAAAATACCAGTTAATACCAAGGGGTCTAGACTAGCCAACTACCTGCACGGGCAGACAGATGACATGGGGTCTAGTATCACAGTCTGAGCAGAACCACCCGCACCTTGGCAATGACAGTCATGAAGTCCCTAAATGTCTTCAGCTGAGTTCCAGCCAGGGACTTGTGGGCAGCCAGCTCCACTCTCAGCAGGTAGTGAAGTCCCGACTCCAAGTCTGCGGTGTACAGCTTGGCCCTGAGAAGAACAGTGACCAGTTAGGAAGGATACTTCCTGCCTTCCAGTACAAGGCTCCTCTTGTTTCTGCCACCATTCCCGGGTAGGAGGCAGACTGAGGAAGCTGCCCCGGGTGTAGCCTCTCTGCTGCACCCATTCCCATTCATACTTGCCTGTCAAATTCTTTCCAAACCATAACCTCTGAATTTTCTTCTTTGTTGGGCTTTTCAGGAAAGGAAAGTGACTTTTTCCTCACATCTGGCAAGGATTTTAAGTAAGAGGAGAAAAACGATCGTAGAGGCTTTGCACTGTGAAAGGAAGGAGGGGATGCTTTTATGGCCGTCCTCTGAGATCATGCAGCCTCTCCAGGCCATAGCTTGGAGAGCAGTTCAACCCTCACACACTACTCACTCTGTGCAAACATTGACAGAGGTGGTGAAGGACACTCACCTTAGCTGGGCCTCAGGAGCTACCCTCCCATCTGAGATGAGAAGACAGAATACCAAGTCCAGACAATCACTGACATAGCTACAGTAAGTACCATAGCTCATCTACACTTGTTGGGACTGTAAGATGCTTGTAAAGCCATTTGAGCATCTGCCAAAACCAGTTTCATCCCAGCTATGATTCCACTGTGTCAGAGGGCCTTCATGACATGCTTGCTCTGCCAGCTGAAACACATCTGGAGGCCAGGCCTGGGGATGGTCACTCCAAAGCTTTCTGCAACTCACAGCCATCTGCCATGTAGCACCCAGAGCTCAGTGTCATTTCCACAAAGAATGCAGTCATATTATTGTACAGTATTAATGAGGCTTTGTATTAGAGGCTGCACATGTGACACTCTTGGTGCTACGTGTACATACACTTGTCTTCAGAACTCAACTGCAGTTACTGGGGTAACTGTTAGGGCAGCCTCCTAGGTACTCAGGGCCCAAACCTTGAAGCTCCATGACCTTAGGTGCCCTGGATTTCTATATTTTTCTTTTCCTTTTTGAGAGAGGATCTCATGTAATCTCTATGTAGCCAAGGATGACCTTGAGTTTCTGATTCTCCTGCCTCACCTCCCAAATGCTGAGATTATAGGAATGAGCCACCATGCCTAGTTATGCAATAATAGGATCAAACCTAGGCTTCCTGCATACTAACCAAATGCTTTGCAATCCACCCCTTCATACAGCTAAAGAAGTATGAGGTGTAACTGAAACTTTGGGTAGGCTCTCCTGCAGCTTAGAACTTCTATTAACTTTCACATCTATTTTGCTTTCTAAAGCTTTATTCAAGGTCACTTTATTGACCTGGTGCCCGGTGAGTCCACCTCTCACTCTAGACAGGGCTTGCTGGCCACAACAGACACAACCAAAAGCCAAGACCTAGCATAGGAGTAATTGATGGGCACCTGTTGCACTTGAGGTTTGTGCAGAAACCCATGGAAACAACCAGAGGCAATGACCACTCCAGATATTGGAGCTTGGAACATGGTCACAACAGATCAGGGAAGGTAGCCAGACATATGGCTTCCTTGCCTCTTGGCCAACTAGTCTGTCATGTGGATTCTGAGGCTTTATCCAGTATGACTATGAAGCATGAGTCTCCACAGACATTACTGAATGTATCTATACAATTATACAAACTAGCACTTACACATTAACCAGTCCATGAGACCCATTTGGGTAAATCAAGTAACAGGAAGGAACTGAAGAAATGCCAAGTGTCCCCAGAAATGCTTTGTCCCTATCCAGTGCTCGGCTCACCACGATGTTGTCATATGGAATCAAATCTAAGATCACCTGCAGAACAAGAAGTCATGTTACCTTCATGCTTTTCTTGGCAAAAATCCCGGAGTTTGTAGACCCACCACTTCACAGGCCACCCTTCACCTAACATGTGCTGAACTGTTCAGAGAATAGCACTACCCACCTGTACCACACAACACGGAAAACCTTGCTCTACTTGCAAAAGCTGGGTGGAGTGACCAGTGCTGTACCAGTTACACAAGGCTAAGGCACAATCTGCATCCATCCCTCTGCAATCAAAAGCAGCCTATGCACCTTAACTTTTACTGAATTTTAAGCAGCTCACCAAGTCACATGCCCATTCTCATTTAGCAACTTTCCAGAATAATCAAAAGTAACATTTGTTGTTTGTTTGTGTGTATGCATTCACGTGTGTGCAGGTACACGTGTGTATGTAGATGTATGTGGAGGTTAGAGAACCTAAGGTACCATCCATTTGGTTCATTAGCCTGGGGCGTACCAAGTAGGCAGGCTGGCTGGCCAGCAAACCCCAGAGATGTGCCTACTCTGGCTACTCAGCACTAGGATTACAAGTGTGTCGCTGGGGATGGAATCCTAATGCTTGCAAAGTAAGCACTTTATGGGCTGAAGCAAAAAGTAACCCAGCCCCAAAAGTAACATCTGTTACTAAACTTTATCTCGCTGAACCAGTTTGTTGGCTACAGAATCCACATGAATTGAGTAAGCACCTTCACCACTCACCAGCTACAGATCTGTTTTCCCAACACACTGGCTATTGTGTGTTCCTACTTCCGGGCTAACCAGCAACTCAACATCATTCCAGCTCTGAGCCAGGTTTGGGGTGGCTCCTGCAGGTGACTTGTACCCATTGGGCTTGCTTAGGCTGAAGGAGCTGCAGTGGGTCTTAGTGACAGAGAGACCATGGCTATGGTATCTCAGTGTCTAAAAAAACCCCTCATATGCTTACCACATGAGTCTATTGTTCTCTGCTGCTCTTAGATGTCAACCAAGCCAGTTACTTCCAGGGATGAACAACAGACTACATGCAAAGTGGATCACAGTGGTAGTGGTGGTGGTTGTCCTTTTTTGTTTGCTTGTTTGTTGATGTCACTGTTGTTTTTGAGATACTTTGTAGCCATCATTGGCCTGGAACTCATATGCAGTCCCAACTGAACTTAAACTCAGAGATCTGCCACTTGAGTGCTGGGATTAAAGGCGTGTGAAACCACATTGGCCACAATGGTTCTTATTGATACTTTTAGGGGCATCCTTGGTTACAGGTCCTACCCAGAGGGCCAGGCCTTACTGATACCAAAGGCATTGGTATGCTGGTACTATGGGGAGAGGGTGACTGGCAAGAAAATGAGCCTTCAGTCATCTTCTCAGGGACAAAGTCCTGTTTTTGGTTTATAAGTGTTCATGTGTGCATGAAGGGCACAGGGGACTGCCTGGAAGAGCTGGCATGCAGTGGCTCTGGACAGTAGGGAAAGGAGTGGACCATGAATGAGTTCTGGATTCTACTGGTTCTCAGTCCTTTGATTGCCAACAATGAAGCAAAGGATACGACGCATCATGGAAACCAAAAGAGAGGGCAGTGAGGTCCCAGAGAGCAGCCAGGCACACGTGGTTGCCACACTGTTGTCTGTAGCCTGCCTGATACCGTCCAGGGTCTATTGAGGACAGTGTTGTCTCCTCCTTCCTGAGCTACCCTGCAGAACCTGCAGAACTGCACTAAAGTGGCAGGAAGGAGCCCAGGGGTCAGTGCTGAATTCCCATGTGGGCCAAGAGACCTCCTTCTTGTCTTCAAGGGACTCTGGCATTATCAACTAGGTCTCTGGTCCCTTGGTTTGATACTTGGTCAAAGCTGAAGGCTTCTGAACCACCCACATGATACCAACATTTCACAAAAGAAGCAAGGTCCTACAGACTACTGGATATGGTAACAGACCACAGGAGATCTGTAACAGCACATGATAATAGCACTTATGAAAGACATAGCAATGTCTGGACCCTCAAAGGCAGCCCTGTTACTCTAGCATTTTTGGCTATATATAGGCCAGTGACTTGGGAGCTCTGTAACTAATGATAGCTCAAGGCTCACTGGTTGTTGCTGTCAATGCACTAACCACAGTCTACCCCAGCCACACTAGCTGCAGCCCCACAGCACACAGGACACAGTACCTCTCGTCCAACATAAGAACCATTGCTTTCAAACACAACAGCGTGGTATTGGCCACTATGGCTGTCCATGAGGGAAAGGATGTCACTGGGCCTGTCAGGAGAAAGCAAAGCCCTCAATTCTCTCCACAATAGCAAGGTGTCACAGCATGCCAGCACCCCGGTCACTGTATACACTCAGATTTTTAAAAACCATGCCCAATACGCACCATGCAACTTGGGGAGAGGGATGAACCAGGGCTTCCCATTTGCTGAGCTCTACCACCATGATGCTCCAGGTCCCACAGGCCACCTTTCAATGGAGCTACTCACTGAACAGGATCCAGGGGTGGGCACGCAGGAGGCCGAGTGCCCTCTGTGTGGTTCTGTAGGAAGTCAATCATCGTCTGCCTGACAGTCCGAAGCTCCCTGTCAGGTCCTACAAAAGCAAATCTGGGTCATGGCTGTGACTGCAGGTATATGTACCTAAGCAGCTCCCAAGCCTAGAGCCCATGGATAGTGAAGGCAGTGGTACCGTTCACGAAACCCTAGGTGCACAGCTGCTCACTGACAGGCTGTCGTGTGGTCAGCAGCAGATGCATATAGTGGGAGAACACACAGCTGAGAGCAAGTGATAGGCTACAGGATACATGACAAAGTGACCAATCTCATGCACATGGTGGTGAGAGGTGGCCAGGTGCACCAGCCAACTCTGTATACATTGCTAACACAGGCAAACTACTCCTGATGCCAGAAATGT